GAGTGTGACAAGGCCAGAAGAAGCACCTGGAGTTTTATTCTCTATCCTTGCAGCACATCCCAATTAGGCCATTTCCACTTAGGGTTCTTTTCCAAAGGTTCATATTTCAGCCTTTCAGAGCTGCTTCTCCCCACCTCTGAGTCCAGATTGTCAGTCTGCCTGTACATTCTGAAGGGCCATTCATACCATTACGGTCCCTTCTACCCAGTGAGAATATTTCTGCTGCTTATAACACAGAAGCAAAAAATCTGACTGACACATGAACGCCATCCCTGGCCACCTGTGTGTGACTATGAGAAGAATCACCTCCCTTCATAGGGCACTAGTGTTCATCTCCAAATGATAGGTGAGTCCCAAAGTGTCTTCTTTTCTCAATGAGGACTGAGGTTTTGATTGCTTACAGATGACTGTTTCGGTACCAAGGAGGTCCAAATGAACATCAAAACCTGGATTCAGGTTTCAAAAGAGGGTCCATTAGGAAAGCTAATTTAGAAATAGGGTGCTGCTGCAAGCAGAACAATCCTTCAGGACAGCCAGGTCTAGGTGGATTCTGAGACCCTCTTGGCTTTGGGTGGTACTACAGTCCAAGATTTCCAGAAGCAAACATGCACTAGGTGGTATCTTCCTGCCTTAATTGCAACACAATTGTAAGCATCTGGATTACACTTGTGTCTCAGGGAGCATGCGCTGTCTGGAACTTCTGTTACAAAGAGTTGTAAAAACTCAGTGTGGAAGGAGAGAGCTGCTTTGTAAACTCAAGAGTCTGCGCTTTCAAGGAAAAAATATTTTGTTAAAACAGCAGAGCGGCCTCAGTCTGGCCTTATGTTCTAGAAAAAAGCTTACTGCTTAGCTGCATTTAATAATCCATGAAACATTTCTATTAGCTTTGGTGTGAACTGTGCGATTGCAGGGGTAAAAAAACAAAGTGAGAAGCAGAAATACAAAATATGCAAAAGAATGAAAATAAGTGAAACCTTAAATATTTGATCAAGGCCTCTATTTTCAGGTAGCCAGTTATCATCACGGGGTCTCAAACATCAACAGGCGCCGTAGAACACCATGCTGAATTATTCAAATGACCAGGGGAACCTTCCCCCCCCCTTTACTATTTTTAAATGAGTATGCATCCTTCCAAGCCAACCTTTACTTAAATATTTAACACAGACACTGGGTCAAATATAAAATAGCAAAATTTCTCACTCAAAAGCTCAAGCTGTAATTATGAATCAAATTATGGGATGCAGTTCAGCCTCTGATGCAGTTTAGCCTCTTCAGCTTCCCCTTTGTGGGCCAACAATTTCTTCTAGTGTGAAAAGAACCTATTTACATTAGCTGAAAGTCTGAATTTTAGAATGACTTTTATGTCTGTGTTTATCCACAATATTTTATTTCATTCTCTCAACTCACTCAGCCCTTCATTCATTCAACACATACTTTTGGAATACTTGCTGGGTCCCAGGCATTGTCCTAGATGTGGGAATGCATCAGGAAGAGTCAGCCTCTCTTGACTGTATACTAAAGTGAGAGAGATAGATTAAAACATAGAAATGTACTTCAAAGGCAGGTAAAAAAAAATAATACTGTGAAAGGGATGGTGTATGGGTGTGTTCCCTGTTCTGAGGGCAGCCTGATTGAATGGGAAGCTAAGGAGTTGGGCAGGTGGTCTGGAGAGTGGGAGAGGCATAGCCTACCCTACCCGTGAGGGAGAAGTGCTGTGCTGGCTTAGACAGAGCCAGAGTGCCTGTATCAGCGACTCTTCTCAGTGTGCCTGTGACTACACACCTGACACAGACAAATTTAAGGGAGAAAGGATCTACTTTGGCTCACAGTTCAGAGGGTTGAGTCCAGTGTGTGTGTTGGGGGGAGACATGGTGGCCAAAGCAGATCATGGTGGGGGCTTGAGGTATGGCTTTGTTCCTAGCTTGTCAGATCAAGAAAACAGAGAGAGGCTCAGAAGCCAGTTACTATAATAGTCAATGCCTGCCCCTTGTGGTGTGGTCTCTGTCTGCCCACTAAGTACCATGTTCTAAAATTTGCACAGCCTACCAAAAGTAGGGATCAAGCACCCAAAACACAAGAGCATGGGGGACATTTCCTACTAAAACTCCCCACAGTGTCTGAGAAGCACAGCAAAACCAAGGAGACTGAAGATGAGGACGGGCCAGAGTGCAGGGCATAATTTATGAATGCTTTGTGGATCATGAGGGAGACTTGTGATTTTAGTTCAATTGTGATGGAAGCCAGTAAGGGCTGCTGTGTGGTGTGGCCTGATTCAGGGTTTGAAAGGATAGTTCTCACTTACATAGAGACTTTCTAGTGGAGGCCTGCTTCAATAGCAATGAAAGAAAGACTTGGCATGAATGTCATCTGTCTGGTCTTTGGTTCTAAGACAGCACCCACCTTCTGAAGCACTTGCAGTGGTTGAAAAGCTTGCCATCTTTGGTTATTTTAAGTCTACCAATCTCCTTTTATACATTCTATTTTTTTTTTTTTATTATTGAACCAAAGCTTGCTCTTTCTGAATGAGGGCTTAGAAGACAAGAAGGGTTCCTCTAAGTGCAGAGGTTGGCCAGTCAATGGTCCCATGCACAGTTCTTCTGAGGACCAGTTCTTCAGAAGGTCCTCAGAACACAGCCTAAGACAGTCACTCTCAGCTAGCTATACATACACTGATGGCTGCCCAAAGATCTCTGACAGAGGAAGACAGCCTCAGAACCTGATGGATGACAGAGGAGTGGGGCAGTGTTATACAAGTGTTGCTCTCATGTAGGTAATCAGAATTTTAGGCCTAGAAATAATTTCTGAATTGTTGGCTTGTTTTCATTCCTTGGGGCTCTGCCTCCTGCAGATCCTTGGAATAACCCCCAAGCCCTGTTCTGCATACTGCATTCTAGAGCATTCCTTCAAGATTATACTTCTAATCACCTGTTACAAAGGAGCACTGGCTTGAGAGTGGCTCCTCACTGAGCATTTTCCCTGCCCTCTATGCTATCCTCCTGAGCTGTATTCTTATTATATCTCATGAATAAACTACCTTCACTCAACTGCTTATACTGTAGTCTGCTTATGAGAGACCCAGACAGACATATCTTCTACATCAAATCCCTGCCCTTTCTGAAACGTCATTTCTTAGACATCTTCCTTTAGTCAACAGAGAGAGGTGGAGAAATTAGAAGCTCCATTATGCTTATGATCTAGTAGCCAGCTGTGACCACAGCCAAGAGACTCACTTATTCCCCTTCAGAATGCCCAGACTGGATTTCTCAGGCCTGCCTCTCCCCACCATGCTGCCTAAAGCCTGGCCATTGAGTGTGTGTGTGTGTGTGGGGGGGGGGGTATTACTGCCTTCCAAAAGCACACACTACTTCTTATCCAGGAAGCCAGCATCTTTCTCAGCCAGGCCCCAAGCTTCACCTGTGCAGGTTAAAATGCTTGTTCTGCATGAGTTATTGTTTAAGCTCTCTTTTGTCTTGTCTCTGCCTCCCCAGCCCTAGGTCCTGACTCAGAAAAACTTGGCCTTTGATTAGTTTATGGAAGTGAACCAACATGTAGTACCATATGCTACATGCAGTCACCAAAATCTCCAAACTTGTGATAAACCACCTACTCTGCTGGCACACAAACTGACATCAGTAAGAGAATATCCAAAGGACACAGTACACTCAGCTATTATGCCACTTAAACTCCAAATCCAGTGTGGCAGGGGGCTGTTCCTGTTGATTATAGGGAAAACTGAAACTGGAGTAGGTAAAGCTGCTTGTCCAAGGTCACCTTATGGAGACAGATAGTACCCTAAGTATGGAGAATAGACCCGGAGGGCATGGAGTCTTCTACCTGAGTGGGGAGGTACCCTTTTCCTGGGTACTTAGTGGGGGCCACCTGTGTGTGTCACACAATGGTGTGGCCCTTCCTAAGAATGTGGGAAGACTGTATGGGGCTGGGAACAGCAGTAGGGTCCAGTGCCAGCTTCATGAAGCACTCCCCACACCCGGGAGTCCATTTGTCACTGTGGTTAGGAAGAGGGAGAGATTAAAATGTTCAGCAGTCACAAAGCCTTGGCATCATCCTCGATGGCATCATTATTATTTTTTGCACACTCCAACTCACCCCATAAGCATTGACAGACATCCGTGAACTTGGGTCTTAAAGACTCCTCCCCACAAGACCCTTGTGTGCATTAGGCAGTTGGGGAGGGTGATGAGGAGGCTGAAAAGCTACAGGCTGTATTAGCAAAGCAAATTAAGGCCCTAAATTACACAAAGACCCCAGGGAGTAAGACCTGATCTCTAAAGATTTGGTTGTAATTTCTTAGCATGAATGAATATACTCACTAGAAAGCCCTAATTGTATTTCCTTTCTAAAATAGCTCTCATTTTCCCCATCCCCCAAACTGTGTGAGCTTAAGGAGCCCATCCCCCTCAACCTTCATCCTCACCAGGGCAGAGCTGGAGAATAGAGGTGTAAATGTGTCAGAAGAGGAAAGCAGGGGCACAGGAAGAGAGTAAATCCTCATCTAACACGGCAGAAAGTCAATAGATAAATCAAGAAATCGCTATGTAAGCTTTTTTCCCTTTCCTTTTCTTTTTTCTTTTTTCTTTTTTTTTTAGCGAAAAAAAAAAAAAAAAAAAAAAAAAAAAAAAAAAAAAAAAAAGGAAGGGACTGATGAAAAAGGGCTGTGGGTGGAACAGAGCAAGAGGGGCTTGGGCTTTCATAAGTAGTTATTTTGCACTTTAAGAAGTGTTCATACATTGCTTGATATAGTTTTAATTCAGACTTTGGGGGAAAAAGAGAGTAAAGTTATCTGAAAGAAATAAACGGAACACAAAACCGAAAAACAAACACGAAGCATTAAGGTCACCGGTTGTAACCGACCAGGCACCTAAAGAGAGGGGCGGGCAATGGGCGTGGTCCGGAGAGGGCGGAGCTCCATCGGACCCACCCTCAGGGCGGGGCAAGGCGCGGAGCCTACTTCCCTCGGGCTCCGCCCACAGCAGGAAGCGGGAAGCTCAAGGTCAAGTTCGCTCTAGGCCCCGCCCCCAGCCTGGGTCAAGGCGAGTAACCTGGTGCCCCTCCCTGGCTGAGCAGCAGGTCCGTGGTCCCTGTTGACCCCCGAGATTCTCCGGGTGCCGCTGCGGAGCCAAGCGACGCGCAGGTAAGCACTACGGCCTTGGCTGCCTGCTTTTGCCCC